GCCCCCTGCTGGAACCTCCCGAGCACCTCCTCGAGGAGCAGCGGCCGCCCCATTCACAGAGCCGCGTCAGATGCAGAGGGCGGGCGGCCGGGTGCAGGTGGCAGCGGCCGGGGGTCAAGGGGCCGTTCGCGGTGGGATCAGAGAGGCCCGGGGGGCAATTGCCACCCTGCCCCCAGGCCCAGTCCGCCCCTGGGCTCTATCTAACTTGCTGCAGCTTTGTGAATTTAGAGTAAGTAAATTCAGTACAGGAGAGGAGCCGCTACAAATCTGCAAGACACGCATTATGTCTGCCACACCCAATCTGCTCTTGTGGAGCTTCAAGCATAACACACACACAAATACACATTTGTGACAAAACGCTGAACATAAGGAATCCCACTGTTTTCTATGGCTCCTGTTCATACCTGACCATTATGTCGCCTGTAGCAAAAAACCTGTCCCTGGAAAAAGTACATGAGCTACTGTTCTGTGGATTTCTGTGCTTTTGGCCCCATAGACTTTATTGAAAATGCCTGGAAACATGTTTTTGATAGCTTTGTCGTGCAAGAGCCAGGCTTCCACTGCAAAAAATGCTAGGGAACAAAATGAAGGATAGCACAAGTAAAAAAATGCACAATGCTTGTAAAAAGCTTGACAAATGCATGCTGATGCGCGTAAAACCGCTTATAAAATCAATAAAAAAAACGCCTTGGGGATGGATGCCGACAAAGAGAGTAGAGATAAGATATGTGACCGGGTTCCCTCTTCTACTCATGCAACTGTTGGGCTCTAGGTCCATGACCACCGGCATCCCCCTTGTGACGCCACTGCTAGCATCATCCATTCAGCAATAAATTCCTTTTTCCAGTGAATTTTTCAGTGTTTAATATGCAAACACTATCCCAGCACCCTTTCAAATTATATATAAATAATTCCCCTCACCATCCACTAATTATAGACAAAACCTCTACTCTTTTAAGTCCCCTTTTTTATGGAAAGGTAAATCATGCTTATTGTGTCTTTATTAAAGTTTTTATTATGATATTATTGAAGAGCTGCAGCTTGATGGGATCATTGTAGTTTGAGAGCGCAGAAACAATCATTATTTAAGGAGTCACTTTAATGTAGTAGTGTAGTATAATTTAGAAATTCTTACCAACAGATAATGGGATGGATCACCAGAGAAATGAGGTAGGAGAGGTGGCAGCGATGAAGCACTGAACAGCGAGCTACCAGCAGATGTTACTGATGTACTTCTGTAGTCACCTATAGAGTCAGAGAAATAAGGCTCGAGCAGTGGTGGGTAGCTTTGTATAGTTGCTGAATCACAGCCTATTGACTTTGGCCCCAGAGATGATGAGTAGATGTCATTAGAGTATTGCTTGGCAGCATGGAACTCAGATTCGGGAAGGAAAGATCTTCGGACGCTGTAATATCCAGACAGCACAGGTGAACCTGGCAGAATATATTAATCGTTTACAGATGGTTACATTTTGTATTGCAAAATAAAATACCATTTAAATGAAATATACTGTAAAATGCAGAGAGATTTGGTATGTTGCTTTAGTGCAGAAGAGATCATATTAGTCTCTAATAAGGGCCGTGTCTACTTCTGTGCTAAAAGTTCAATCTTAATAACCTATAGATGTAAATGAGATGACACTGATGTAAATATTATTATCAGTGTGTAATCACTGAGGCACCTAACTGTTTTTACCTTCTCTCTCTCTGGTTCCTATTTTGCAGGGATACACAGTGGTTGTGCTCCTTCTTGTATTGCAAGTCCAAGGGCTCATTTATACCACTGTGTTGCAATAACATATATGATTGCACAATGCGTGGCAATGCATGTTACATGTGCTGGTGCAATGTGGTGACATACATTGTGAATGGCACCCCAACACATCCTTAAAATAAAAGCAAAACAGAGCGCCTCCATAGTGTAAAAAGTTTATTTAATTAGTACAACACACAACTGAAATTGTACTTACACGAAAGCCAATGATCGCAAGCATAAAAGAAACGATGAAATATAAAATCTCCAGCAGGGGAAGTCTGAGGGGATCACCAAATCAGCATCCTTCTGCAAACCGGGGGCGCCAGTATTGTCTTTTTCGGTACATCCTTAAAGTGCATGTGTGCTTCAAAGCCACTAAGCAAAATGCACGGAGTCTCATTAACACAACTAGCGTCAACACATGACTATGCGCGTGGTATGGTCAAGCAACTAATTAAAAACAATGCACTCTGTGTCCATTATGTGTTAGCAGTTGTTAAAAGGGAAGTAAAGTCAAACCTTTTTTGTTTGGGTTTTACATCTCTTTTAGGTCACAGAAATACATTTACTGATGTACTACTGTGAACCAAAGTCTTCATACAGAGGGGTACTGCCTTGCTATCTGTTGACAGCGCAGATCTGCGCTGCACTGGGAGGGATCCTGACAAGATTATCAGGTTCTACCCAGGTGTCTGATGACAGCGGGCTCTGCCTCTCTAGAGCCAAAGCCACTTGTGCCTGCCCCCTCCCCTGTCTGTCCCACCAATTAGTGCTGGAGAAACAAAGAGGGGAGGGAAAAATCACTGCATTGTGTGAAGACTGACAGTCACAGCTCTCTGCAGGGAGGAGACCATGAGCTGAGTGATCAGCCGATACATGATGGGTCAGCTTTTGGTATAGACAGCTGCAGCATTCTGTGCTGACTCTAAGTATTGGGAAGAGTATATTTAACTCTCTCCATCCTTCTCCTTTAAGCAAGGGGGTTTATTGATGCTTAACCCCCTAACCCCAACTGTACGTATATGTATGGCAGCACAGACTGGGCTCTTAGTCCCAGATATAATTCACTGCTCCAACCCACTCTGTCATCCAGTCTGGGCAAGACATGGGTGCCAGCTGTGAGCTGCCCTTGCTCCAAAAAGAGTACTCAAATGCAAGGGGGGTGGCAGGGAGCACCCATACCAGGCTCAATGGCTAGAGCAATGGGAGTGTACCTTGCCGGGGGTGGGGGCTGAACCTTCCCTCCCTCCGGCAAGGCAAATTGTCCCCATGTTGATGGGAACAAGGGCTTCATACCCACATACCTGGCCCAGTGATGCATAAAGGCAGTGTACTATAGCACATTAAAAAATGTACCCGCTTTCGCAAATAATGTGCAAACGCAAAAACATTTTTTCATGTCTTACCATGATGCAGTGTGGGCCCTTAAAGTTTGGGAAAGCACACTTAGAGCACAGAGGTGAAAATGTGCCCCGTATAGTAATATGCATGTAATAGTAGATGTTGTGGCTAAACATTTTTTCTTTATAAACCTCTTTATGTTGCATGGATTTAACAATAAAAAAAACATCAAGTTGGTTAGTATGTATTATTATTTATTATGAAAAATAAGTTAGAACTTATCTCCTGTAACTCCACTAGATAGGAAGAATACGATTAAAGATTGGATGGATTAAATACATTTGCCACAGTGACATTGGTTGTTGAAGCTGATAGTCAAAAGCGGTAAAGCAACATATGCAGGGCCATATAAACCTGTAGCTATCATATCAGTAAAGACAGATATAGTCAATCAATGCAAAGGCTTGTGTCAACAGGCTTTTCACCTGTGCCTATAGGCAAAGGCAGCATGCTTCTTCTTGAGATCATTGACAGGTGCATTGAGGAGAAAAGACGTGGGTAGAGAATCCGTCCATTTGAGCTATAGAATGATTTGGATCAGAAGTCCCCAAAAGTTATTTAAAATAAGAAGCCACAATGTATTAAAACAATCATGACAGTCCTTGAGCACTCTATGGTGATCTTCATCTTGGCATAGAGCAAGTTTCCCTGCTGTTTCTTCTGGCAATGCCACCATGCAAGAGTGAAACCACTTAGCAGTAACATGCCTATGAATACAAGTTCACATCCTTATTCTTTGTTTATGAAGATTAATTACTTTTAATAATTTCAATGAAAGGGTTATTAAACCCTCCGTGTCTCTCCTTGCATGCAATATCCAATTGCATGCAAGGAGAATTAAAAAAAATTAAAAACCTCCCCGCTATTTGTCTTCTTTCCATAGAAGTCCTTTAGGCCCTGTCCTTAGACCCCCTCTATTCTCTATATACATCTCCTCCCTTGGAGAGTTGATAGCCTCCCACAGCTTCCAATACCATCTTTATGCTGATGATGCCCAAATCTATCTCTCTACTCTTTAGATCATCCCTTCAGTCTCCCTAAACATCACTAATTTACTAACTGACAGATCAGTATAGATGTCTATACTGAACTCTGGGTAAAACTGTTCTCAACCCTTGCAGTGGGACTTCCCCCACACTGAAAGGGTTAAGTGCTCATTTTTGTCTAGGTGTTAAAATAAAAAGTTATACTCACCCAAACTGTGGAGTCAGCCAGCTGTCCCAGTGCTCCCTCCAGCCTGTCTTCACCTTCGCTGCAGCGATGGTATGTCCCTTGGTGTACTCATGTCCTATACATTAGGGTTGCACACATACCAAGTACAGTACTCAGTACAAGTACGAGTACATGTACCGATACTTTTGAGCTCCAAGACTAGACTAGAGAAAAATTCAAAAATTAGGAGGCAGCTGTCATTTGTAAGGAGCACACGGAGCTCCTGGGATTTGTTCATCTCTGTTTTAATGTATGATTTTGTTTTTATAAATAAAGGGATGCACAGATACCACTTTTGCGAGCACGAGTACTGAAACTTGCCGAGTACTTACAAGTACGAGTACTGATACATGTTTGTGTATTGTCATGTGACAGTTTTTCTAAAACAATACAGACTAATGATTTCAGGACAGTGGTGGAGCGCCAGAGCCAGGTCCCAGCTGCAACCGCTGCAACCCTAGTAGTTCTGAAAATGCCAAGTATCTGCACTGGTACTCGAAAAGTATCTGTGCATCCCTACTATACATTATGTTTAGGACCAGATGACTCGTGGAACCTTAGACCACTGCAGATGAGAGGGAGAGATGCACCAGGGATCAACCTAAAAACAAACCAGCTCCGAGGATCGGGTGAGTATTTAGCACCTAGACACAAACGAGCACTTAAATCTGTGCGGTGCAGGGGTAGCACCACTGAAGGGGTTAATAAAATTGAATCCATAATATTTCAGATTACAGAAGACTGATATAAAGACAAACTCTGGTATTGTACTACTTGCATTTAACACACATATATATAATTACATTTATTTGTGTTTTTCCATCTGTCTGGAGTTTAGTTTGAAGAAATGCCATATTCAGAAAAGAAATAAAACATTAAAATGTTTGAAAGGGTGAACATGTACCTGTTTATAAATTCTTCACTGTAGCCATAGTAATAAAGTTAAATAAAACATTTTTAAATGTTCTCTTTTTGCCAAAGGCTAGACATGCTTTAATTTATTATAACTTGAATAAAATGCCTACCTGACATTTGGACAAATGGAGTCTGGGAAACATTGGTACTGCCCTGTAAATGCAAGACATAGTTTAAACTTCACTCAGCTATTCACAATTATACCATGATGCAATGTATCAGCTTATTTTGAAATCTTAGCAGTCAAAGATAATTATGTTTCAGTCTTACATGTATAAAATCAAAATGGATAAAGAGATATAGGGAAGATTGTACAACAAAGGGGTTCATAGTTATACAGAATTACAGAGAAACACATTATCATTTTTTATATAGGCCAAACTCCAGAATGCCCTTTCACCCATCCTTACCATCTTGTCTTAAATTGTATTGTGACTGTAATGTCTTCCTTATATTGTAAAGCGCTGTGCAAACCATTGGCGCTATAAATGCTGTATAATAATAATAATAATAATAATAATAATTAAAAGTAAACATGTTCTTTGCCCATGCAAGGTTAAGCAACAAGTTCACTTACAGCAGTGGATCTCAACCTGTGTAACCTTCAGACCCACATTTGTCCTTGGTCATTAGGTCGCGACCCAAGTCGCACTGCAATGTAACGCACAACATTGCGGTACCGCGCATTCTGGTGTGGACGATTGAACTGTGGACGGGAGGTATGTTTGGGATGCCATTCAAATAAATAGCAAAGCAATGCACTACCCACACCAGAACGTGTAGTAGGTGCGATTGCATGGTACAGTGCGATAATCGCATGGGATAGTTTGATTACCGCACTGTACTAGTGTGAACGGGCCCTCAAAAACACTGACAGTCACACACAACCACAGACACCATTTCACATACTCACAGAAATTCTCAACCACACACGTACACACTCCAAAAATGTTTTTTTTCTTTTTTTTAAGATCCACCCAGTCTTCCTACCTTACGAGAATTGGAGTGGATCCTCAGCCTGGCATACAGTGTGGACTGCTCTGCTGTGACAGAGCTCCATGTATATGTGCATTGCTTGTACAACTCCCTTTCATGCCCTGTAGAGGTGCCAGAAGCCAGAATGTGATGTCATTCTGGCCCAGGCACCTCTACAGGACATGCGAGGGAGCTGTAAGCAAAGCATGTATGGATGGAGCTCCCTCGTGGCCATAGCCCCAGCCCACTGCACCTTAGGCCGACACTTGGTGCCGGGCAGCATATTTTAAATGGCTGCTTGGCCCAAGAACTGACAGTGCTGTGCTAGGGGGAGGCTGAGGAGCCTTTCATCTGGAAAAGTGGAAGGCATGTGGCGAGCCACTTTTGGTTCACGACCCACCAGTTGAGAACCAAGGACTTACAGTATATCTAAATCTCAAAACATAAATGTAATATGTTGCATCTTATCAGTCCTTGTCCATGTGGTAGCTCCATCAATTTTCTTTTTTCAAACTTTTTTTATTTTTGCCTAGTAGTACTGTAATTGACACACTTTCTGTCCCAGGGTCACAATGCTCACTCACTCACCCACAGAGCAATTTAGCCTCACTTGCTCTGTGGTAAATTGCAGTCAGGGGGACAGGGAAGATAAGTCCCTCTCAATGAGCCCCAGGTAGAATAAAAACAAACTGTGAGGGGTTCAAACCCTTCTTCACTATATCCAAAACTAAGAAAAACATTTTGGCAGGGCATATACTTTAAGCTGAAAGGAAGGACTAGAGTTCACCAACCTGATGCAGCTCTGAGGTACTTTATTAGACAAAATAATAAAAAAAAACAACATATGAGTAGATAGTGTTGAAGTGTACCAATGGCCATGATAGAAGAATACTGCTGGCAGCTCGCCAGTAACATGACCAGTGAAATGGCTACTGTGGTCTCTAAACTGGACCAGTCAGTGCTGTTAAGGGTTGGAGTCCCCATAATAAATGCAGTGCTAAATCCTAACTGATCATGCTATTAATTGGATTAAAATTTTACACACAGTTCATATTGTAGATAGTTTTATACAATATGTGACCAATGAATGAAAATTGAATTTATTCCTAAAACGTATGTTAAATTCTGACATAGTCTTTGAAAAAGTTCATATTCATGTTCTGTTCATGTACAGACAAATGTACATGAACAGCTGATGTACAAAGACTACAAATGTAGATTGCAAACACATATAACATTCTTGGAAAGATTACTCAATCATTATGAGCTAAGAGAATAATAAATGTGGTCTGTTGCTTTTAAAAATACAGTTTTTCAAAAATTGAAACTAGGCTAAAAATAATCTGTTTATCAATCATGCACAGCTGCTTTCACTCGAAGAGTAGGGAACTAAAATGTTTTTTTTTTTTGGCACAAGCATTTTTCTAATGTCAGAATTTATAAATGGTTGATAAACATTTATCAACTATTTTTAAATTCTGACATTAGAAAAATGTTAAGCATTTAAATGCATCACCTTACCTTCATAGTTTGATACACAGTTTCTAACTTTATTCAAGAGTAGGTGAATATCCATTATCTTTGCTTTGCAGCCTAGGTGAAATTTGTGGCACTGATAAGATAATATTTATAACCAAAAGGTGCCTACAGATGTGAGAGAATGGTCCAATCAGGGAACATGTATATGTTTGTAGACACCTGCATGACTGTGGTTGTTGCTGAAACTACTTAGGGGAAAGTCAATATTGCACAATGGATTTTCCTGACGGATAACTATTATTTTTCCCCTTCACTTCTTCACCAAAAACATGCAAGATTTTTGGTTACAAGCTTCATTTGGTGCCTAGATTGTTTATGCGCAGTCAACTGCCATTTAATGCCTGTAACAATCTCCTGAAAATTAGGTGCTGGATTTCAATTTTTGGTAAGTCTGTCAGATTATAGCAAAGCGCAATGGCTTCAGTCTACTCTCCACTCAACAGGACACCCCTTTAAAATGGGAAGCCAGAGTTGAGGATCCACATGTAGAAAGTATAATGAGAGCAACACAAACAAGGTCCAAGAGTCCAAATTCTTTTAATATTAGTATTAGTTCATAACAGGATAACACGGATAACACAAAACAGCCAATGCATTTCGGGGGCTCAAAAACAATCTCTCCCTTTTTCAGGGTGTTGTACATGGTAAGTCTCAGAGATAGCATAATCACCAGAAAATAATTATTGGTTACAAGTTATAAGTTCTGCTGACACAGCACACACAATCTTGTAATTTCTTACCTAAAGAAAATGAAGTAAACTTTGTCTGATTCTATTTTAACCAACAGGATGAGGAAATTATTTGAGATGAGTGAATTGTAAGTCAAAAGTAAGCTTACATACATCCCCAGGCCAATCTACCAATTGCTTACCTAGCTAAGATGCTGCTGCTGCCCATTAATCAGGTAAAGTCTAGCTTCTTTCACCAACTAAACTAATGGAGTGTTATCTGTCATACTGGAAGTTTCTCAACCAATGCTATTCCTGCATTTTACAATCATTTCAACAGCAATGTGCCTTGGACATCTTACTGAGAACCTGTGCCATAACCCTGCCCACTAATTACCAAAAGTGAATTCGTTTCAGGTTTACATATGTGCCCAATATACTGTAGCACTGTGGCTATTGAAACAGCCACACATTTTGTGAATACAAAACCCATTTTCTAAACTTTTAGTTCACTGAGGAAATGATCATCTTCTTGGACTAAAATGTCAAGAGCATTTCTAAAAACAGTTTTCATTGCTTTTGGTTTTACATGGAAATTTGCAAGAAAAACAGCAAGAGTGAAAAGACGCTAACAGGTCTATTCACTAAGGGGTGAAGAGTTTGGAGAAGGCAGGAGAAGTGAACAATCTAGGACAAAATAGCCGATTTTGAAAAATTCTCCAATTCAGCTCACTTTCCAGTTCAGCTGTGTTGTCCTAGATTGTTCACTTCTCCTGCCTTCTCCAAACTCTTCACCCTTTGTGAATAGACCCCTAAGTCTTCATCAATAACTACAGCTTTTAGTTCACAAAGTTCACAAGTTAATTCAGATTCTACAATTTAAAACAGTTGACTGTCTGGAAATATATTATCCCAATGTTTGGTAGAAAGACATTGATGCTTGACAAGAAATGCTTGCACAATCTGAAACAGTATCAGAGATTCACTCAGCTTGAAATAGTTGCTGAATCAAAACATCAATGGGCAGCTAGAGCCTGCCTATGAGCATGAATATAACAGTCTGTATTTCTATGAATAGTATTTACTATTATTGATATTTATGCAGCACTTTTACCTACAATGCATTCACATCAGTCTATGCCCTTGAGGAGCTTACACTCTAAGGTCCCTTTATCACATGCATACAAGACCAATTTAGACAGAAGCCAATTATCCTTCCAGCATGTCTTTGGAGTGTGGAAGGAAACCAAAAAACCCACACAAGCACAATGGAGAACATGCAAACTCCTGGCAGATAGTGTCCTGACCAGGATTTGACCACTAAGCCAATGTGGGACATATATCAAGACAATGGTAAATAGTGAGACAGATTATGATACAAATGTACTATAAAATGGCAGCTTGCTTCAAAAATTCTTCCCATTTCTGCTCAACAAGATCGCTGTGACAATATAAAACCTGCCCTGGACCACTTTTTAATTGTGTTTTTAATGATATTCTGCAGTGCTAAATCTGTTACAGACCTTTACAAAACTGCTTTCCAAGTTTGCTTCCTGGATTACAGGCATGACGGCTAAATGAGAGATAGTCTACTGTGCATTAAAAGTGCACCTAATTATGTTTAACACTAATTTGTTCGAAAAACAACCCTCAATGTAAACATCTGCCTAACTAAAAGACACTATCCTCTGTCAGGTTTTTATATGCCTGGAGTGCTTATTCATTTTTTTATTAATTTTTCAAAGCTAACTCCAGACTTTTTAATCATGAAAATGCCTCCCCCAGCTAATAATGTATCTAATGCTCATTTTTATGTAGAGGATATGAGAAATCAGAGTATTGGTTACCTTCATCTATAGTGTTGTGGTCTTTCTCCCTGCTGGTACTACAAAGCTATCCTTCTTGACAGTTTCTGACTGGTCTTGCTGATGTCATCACATGCAAAGCAGGATCATTAGCCACCACTGGTTCTGCATGATATGCGATTATATTAGAGTGTCCACCCACAAACAACCAGAACGGGACCCTGGATGAAGGTTCATATTCCTCTGTTCCCCTTTTATATCATACCCTTTTATATCATACCCTGAATGCAATGAGCATTCAATCCTTTTTAGAAGGGGAGGGGAACAGACATTTCTAATTGTTTTTAAAAACCAATGAGTTCAGTTCTTTTTAATTCCTTCCGATTGGCTTATGCAAGAGGCGGGCAAGATGTGTCCTGGTTTACAGAGCTACTAAGAGTTATGACACGGTAAGCCAAACCAACAATAAATGCACTCGTGCTTCCACAGTGACACAGATTGGCACAAAGTGTGGCAACCAGTACCCATGAACCTTGTGGTAGATTCCCTGCAGCTTCTTATTTAGGTTAATAATTTGTTCAACCCTTTTAACCATAAATTATAAATACACACAGAAGAAAAAATATGGATATGCTCTCTCACAAACAGTATAAACCAGTGCTGTTTATTTATAGTAAGCCAAAAAAATGACAAACACAAACAGCAAGAAGCGGTAACATCAGTTATGTCCAATTATTTATAATTACGAGACACAGGAGATGACGAACTGTGCAGTTTTTGCATAGTGTAAACAGAAAGTTCCTGCCACATGCAGCAGACAAATTCAAAGGTTAAGATTTGAATGAAATTTGCCCATCATGAGTTTTCTGAAGAGCAGCAGCTGTCCAGAAAGGAAAAAAAAAAACCTCTATAATAAAAGAGTTGCTTTAAAAGCAGTGTTTACCATATCGCAAACTACAAGGACCGATGAAAGATGAAGCAAGGGTTTTCTGCAACAATACAACAGACGTTTGGACAAGCAGTAAACTGCACAAAGCGTCATCCTTTTTCATCTCATTCATAAAGCTCTGAAAGCTTTTACACTTTAACATACATATTTTTCATCACAAACATGTTGCCATTTCATGGATTAGGATACATCTAATTCCATTGCTTTAACAGGGTTTATGTATTATCAAAGCCAATTGCCAAAGAGCTAAAGGCTGCCTAAAAATATGGAACAGAAAATAAATTGTTTGTATGACTTTTAAATTGGATATGCCCTTGTAAAAAGACAGTGTGTACATGTATACCCATCACTAAAAACATTTAAATGCTACTGATAATAATGAGCAAGGAAAGATCAAAGATCACTAAAAGCTCTTTTATCAGTTTCTGCTGTGATTGATCATTATAGACCCTTTACTGAACATGGATAGGTACAGAAAGGCTTGCTGGTTTTACTCTTTAAAGGAAAAATAACAGTTTGCTAAATATTACAAGTACCTCATTTGTCGCACACAAAATGATTCCACTTGCAAACTTTAAAAGCGTGTACAGATATTTAAGTTTTGAGGGAAAATGAATTGTTCTTTGTCATGCCTGTACCTAAATTACCAGCTAAATGAACAAAATATAAATGGAACTGGTTACTTTTGAAGTCTCTATTTTCTGTTGCACAGGTTAAATCTTGAATTTATAGAAATATCTAACTAGTAATACTTCTTCGGAAAAATATAAACAGGTTCACTCTTGTCTGGCCAAGTAACAATTTGGGGTCTATTCACTAAGCTGCTGAAGGATCTAGCCGTAGCTTCGGTTGATCTCCTGGTTAGCTACGGCCCCAGGACCCCTTCGGTTCAGTATATTCACTATAGCCCGTACAGCTCCCAAAGTTGGCCAAGCGGCTCAGTCGAGCCGAAGGCATATGCCTCTGCTCGACTGAGCCGAGGTGAAAGCCGAAGCTGGTCGAGCGGCCGGCCATTGGCCAGCTGACAGCCTGCTTCTGACAGCTGGGCGGAGCCAGTCATCATCTCACGGCTGGCTCTGGCCACTAGCAGAGAGATCAGCGTCCCTGGTTACCATGTAATCAGGGACGCCATCTGTCATTACACACTGAGAACCCTGCAGGGCCGCTATGATATCACAGCGGCCTCTCCGTGTTCTCAGTGTGTAATGACAGATGGCGTCCCTGGTTACCTGGTAACCAGGGACGGCATCTATCATTACTCTCCCGGATGCTTTGCAAGTCTAATACGCCCGTGAGAGAAACACTTTCCCTCAGAAAGGGTAAACCTTTCCTTGTGATCTGTTTTTTTTTTTCTGACATGGGGCCGCCCTCAGTCAGGAAAAAAAAAATACACCATAGGAATGCATAGCTAGATTCCTATTGGCTATTTCAATTTGCAATAGCCAATAGCAAACTAGCTATTGCTGCTGTCAATCAGCAGTGTCTAGCCAAGTAACATTGGTGATCGACAGCAGCAGAGGGCGGGTGCAATAGCTAGTTTGCTATTGGCTATTGCAAAGTGAAATAGCCAATAGGAATCTAGCTATGCATTCCTATGGTGTATTTTTTTTTCTTTTTTTGACGGCAGCAGAACCGCCAGGCAAATAGAAAACAGTTGGGCGGAGATAGCTGTCAGTGCTAGCTCCGCCCAATCGTTTTATATTTAATTTTTTCTACTTTTTTAACTCTTTTTCTATTCTGCTCAGTACCACAGAGGTACCGAGCAGAATAGCCAAGCCGAATGCCGCTCTGCTATTCACTCACTGCTGTTCGCCATCTATGAGAATAGGCCGAACAGCAGCGAGTAGCCTGCGGAAGTCGAACTCCTTCTGCACTTCTGGTCGGCCGAACATGCTGAGCATGTTTGGCCGACCCAAAGCCACACGAAGTTACCCGATGTACGGCTGATTTCAGCCGCTATACGGCTGAAATCAGCCGTACAAGCCTGAAGTGAATAGCCGAACAGCTCACTTCACTTCGGGTCGGTTATTCACTCGGCTGCCGTCAGCAGCTTCGTGAACAGACCCCTCTGTCTTTGGTTTATTGCATTATTATTTCCCTCTTATGTTCCCAATGTGGTTCTGAAGGAAAGTAGAACTAGGCGCTTATTTTGTATTATAGGTATTTACAGGTGAAACTCGAAAAATTAGAATATCGTGCAAAAGTTCATTTATTTCACTAATGCAACTTAAAAGGTGAAACTAATATATGAGATAGACTCATTACATGCAAAGCAAGATAGTTCAAGCCGTGATTTGTCATAATTGTGATGATTATGGCTTACAGCTCATGAAAACCCAGATCCACAATCTCAGAAATTATTTGGCAGTGTGGGCAGGTGCCAAGTCCTGCTGGAAAATGAAGTCAGCATCCCCATAGAGCTCGTCTGCGGAAGAAAGCATGAAGTGCTCCAAAATCTCCTGGTAGACGGCTAATTTGCATTAGTGAAACAAATGAACTTTTGCACAATATTCTAATTTTTCGAGTTTCACCTGTATATAATGCTGACAATTTACACAGTCCTTTACATAGTGTACATTCACATCAGTCCCTACCTTCAAGGAGTTTACAATCTAAGGTTCCTTTTTCACATGTACACAGAGCCAATTTAGACTGAAGCCAATTAAACTTCCAACATGTCTCTGGAGTGTGGGAGGAAACTGGAGTACCCAAAGGAAACCCACACAAGCACAGTGTCCTGATAGAGATTCAAACTAAAGACCCTTAGTGCTGCAAGGCAGAAGCGCTAACCACTAAGCCACTGTGCTGGCGTATTATTATTATTATTAGTATACTCTTAAGCAATTTCAACACCTTAGTGGTTTGTAACCTTCTTGAAAAAGTATATACTCTATATACTCTTTGTGATGTGATGAGGAAATTGCCTGAACTGAAAGTAGATGTATACCCCTGTGTATAAGGGTGGGGTTTTGCCCTGATGTCCAAAAAAAATCACTGGGGGAGAGAGGAAGATTTTTTTGACAGAAGACTCTTGGCATGTCACTTCTGCCAAAAATCCTGACCTCCCACAAATTATTTTTGTCACTTTACTTCTACTTTAAATTTGCAGTGAATTGGCAGCAGGGAATGTCTGCCAGGAGTCACTGATTTGCTCAGACAGGCTGAACCAAAACATTCTGTATAATTGGTAAGGGCTCCAACTGTGTGCTATTAATAGAAATCCCAGGCCCTAGTCAAGTTTGGAAGTATATAGTGTCCATTGAGGATTCCTCTATTATATAGAGGACATAATTGATTGTGGTGTGAAATTATCAAGCCCTACAATGCAAGAGGGTGCCGAGGACTGTGATGTAGTATTCCTAAAAAACAATTCTGCACCCTTTTAACAAAAGCAGGTCCTCTACTGGATTTCACACAGTCGCAGACCTTAGGCCCATGATTTAGGAGCTTGGAAATTCTACTCTTGGCTCCTCCCATGAGCTTAAACAATATGTCTTGAGCCCATACTCTGTCACTGTAAGCCAAAGAGATTGCAGATATCCATCGGGTCTGCAGTTTGCACTCCTAAAAAGACCAGAAATGAAAAATACATCATGGAATCTAACTTACATTTAGCCTTGAACCAGTCGTCTGTCTTGATCTTTTCTCTGCGAGAAGATCCTTGACTGTATGCTTCACCCGGACTCCTTGGTAAATTCGTTTGTTGAATTCACTGGGAACTAGAAAGAATAAGGGGAAAAAATGAGCACTATAAATTTGTGTCTTTTACTTGGTCTAACCCTTATCTGCAAACTTGTATGTAGAGGTTTAGGTATAATCCTGCTCCAAGAAACAGCTAAAAAGATGATACATTTTTTTTGAAAGAATAATTTTGAAGTATGCTGCGTCAATGGGAACACATAACAAATGTATTGTGGGAGTTCTCAAATATGACTGCAAAGGTGGAAATACACTTTAGAGCAGGGGTGGGCAACTCCAGTCCCCCTAGTTGTGCTTTAAATCCCAACATGCCTCTGTCTCTGGGAGTCATCCCTGTAACTGTCAGTCTTGCAATGCCTCATGGGACTTGGAGTTTCACAACAGCTGGAGGGCCAGAGTTGTCCACCCCTGCTTTAGAGCATGAGCAAAGAAGGAAATCAACCATCACGTATTTCGCATGTTTACGTTTTTAGGTGACTTTTTCAGATTACATTTATATGAAATAATGATATAAAGTATGTCAAAATATATCTGGCCCTAGATCTTTTTTATTAAAAATAAATAAATAAATGAACAAGCTTATTTATCAGGGAAAAGTGCAGTAACAATGTGTAAAATCCTGCAACCAGCAGACCAGGGTTCCTCACTTCACTTTAATGCAAATCTGGTTGGTATGGGTTACTGCACATTTACCCTTTTAAATAAACCTAGTGCTAGTACACAGTTACATGCCTGTTGATCTTATAGTCACTGTCTAAATGACGAATGACTAAATATGAACAATGCTATCTTTGAACTACTCACGACTAAAGAGTTTATACTTCAATTTCTTTTACAGACAATGAAGAAAAGTTTTGCATATTTCCTAAGAAGAGACATAAAATGCTGCAGCTGTATAAGTGAGCCATTAAAGCATCTGTAAAGTAAGGGACGTAAGTTTATCTGTACAGTAATGTACACATATAAACACCACAGTTATACCAATAAAACTATGGCAAGTGTCTTTTAGAAGTTTTTTTTTTCCTAGGATCACACAACCACAACCATCTAATTGCTGCTGATAAGGGCAGGAGTGGGGGAGAGATCCTCCACTGAGATTGGCTGTTGTGTGACTTCACCTGTTACACTTTGCCTTCAGCAGCTCGGGAAGCATGGATTAAGCTGGCCATACACCTATAGATTATCTGCAGATGTTCTATGGTCAGATGTATAAAGTGCAACAGATTCTTCCATCTACGCTAAACTGTGTGGATGGAGGAGTCTACCACTGGGACAAGCTTCAGTATCTTGCTACTTGGCCCCGCTAGCTCTCAAAATACCCGAACAATGCCTGCATCCAATCAGACTGTTCCGGTATTTTGAGAGACAGCAGGGCCGACTAGCAAGATACTACTTGGCCCAGTGGGAGATTCCTCCACCCACACAGTTTAGCGTAGATATAGGAATCTGTTGCACTTTTTCCATCTGACCATAGAAAATCTGCAGATAATCTATAGGTGTATGGCCAGCTTAATATTCTGCATAAGATGTTCTCTCTGCTATGCAAGCTTGAATTAACTAAGGATAGTGACATCACTGGCAGGCTTTAGCAAACAATGCCTCTCCAAACACACTTCTGTGCTCCATTCCCCCTTACTTTACAACTGCTGCTTTGCATAGGTGGTTCCATAGATTGTGACTATTCAAAGCAATGTTTTCTGCAGGAGCTGTTGCTGCAGAGAGCAGATCCTACGCAGAGGCAGGGGTAGGGAAGTGTGTTTGTGGAGGTGTAAGGGCTGAGATGGCAGCCATCCCATTTAGGATTGACTACTTGACTTCTCTGTTGGGAAGCATAATGATGGGAGTATAAGAAGTTTGGGGACTAATGGGAGGAGGAGTCGCTAAGGGGTCGAGTAGCTGTCATCTTCCTTGAAAGAAGGAAAAACACACTCACGATATGAGCAGAGGAAATAGTTGTTTCCCCATCTTGAGGGCACTCTGTTCTCTCCAGAAAGAAGAGCTATACTCTAGGGGCATTTTATGAATGCAGTGAGTCTGTGTGGTAGATTATAAGCTATTCACTCACAGAAATAAATTATGATCACACACCACAAGCAAGATTATAACCACTAGAAAAAAGAAGAGGAAGCACAAGCAACATGTCATGGTGTATTGTGGGTGTGTCAAAATAGCGCTAACAGTGGGGGGACCAACAATTAGGCTATGTACAGAGTTCAGGGGTCAGAAACATGTACTATACAGAGTGCAGGTGTCAGGAGTATGTACTGTATAAAGTGCAGGGGTTAGTAATACATTGAGTGCAGGGGTCAGGTGTGTGTGATGTACATAGTGCAGAGGTCAGGATTATGTAAAGTACATAGTATAGACATGTAAACTTTCAGCCTCTGAGTACTGAAGTCTGTGCTGTGCTCACTGTTAGACATTGGCATACCTCCCATCTTTAGAACATGGTAAAGCAGAGCACCCCCACAACTGACGGGTACCACACCAAAATATGGGCGTGGATACATTGGGCTGAATATTGGGTGCAGTTTAAAGGGTTATGGTCAAGCAAGGTAAACAGAGTTTGAACATATTCACTGCTTATACTACACACTTATCCCACAGTCCTTGCACCCAAAAAATACTCCTTAATTACAGAGCCACAAGCAACTGTCTTGCAGACAGGCATACACCTAGACCCAAAGGATCATTTTTTTTAAAGGAAACTTTTCCATTACATATGCTTTTCTGCAAAGAGATTATTGACAGAGGGCTAACATTTTGTCTGATTCTACCTTAACCCTTTCACGGCCATGGGCATACCTAGTACGTAATTGGCAGCACTGCCCTGTAAACTGACTGTTTACCTTTGTAAAGCCAGCTTTACAATAAAAGCAATTCTGGCAGCTCAGCTGCTACCAGATTGCTTCTATGGGCCGGTAAAGTGCCGGCCTCTGCGCCCGACACCCCCGCTGTGTCCGACATGGCAGGTGCTGGAGGGAAGCTGGGGAGGAGAGAGGTGAACCTCCATTCACCAATCTGCTCCTCGCTCTTTGGGACCAGGAGCGATGCGTATTGCATCACTTCTGGTCCCTGAGCTGTCATTGCTCAGCTACTGAAGCCGAGCAACAAGCTATTGAAGTGCGATCAGCACTTCAATAGCTTATTTAAAGTGGAAAGGTGATACTAGTGGTCTTTTGGACCCCCAATATCACCTTAAAGAGGACCTGTCACTGCCAATATGCTATCACATGGGGGCTTGTATGCCCCCCTAAGTGATAACAATGAAAGTAAAAAAGGTTTAAAAAATAATATAGAATGAAATAAATGTAAAAATAATTAAAAAAATGTTTTAAAGTCCCCTGTGAGCATGCACGCATTCAGGCAAACACGCATCGGGTGCGCCTATGTACGAAAATGTTGATCACTCTACATGTGTTGGATATTACTGAGCACGTCAGAGTGAGAGCAATAATCATAGGGCCAATATTTATGCGTATCTCTAAACTGATGACCTGTAGGGGCTTTTAAATTGTCATTTATGGATTTTTTGGGGTACTGAATTTTGTTGCCGTTTCACGGACACATGCAAGTTTTAACCTGGGGTTTGAAGTAATTTTGAGGCCTAAAATGTGGATTATATCATGTGTGCAAAAAAAAAAAAGGCTTGGCACTGAAAGGGTTAACATTTATTTCCACTTTTGCAGCCAAATTAGGATAACACCTACTTTATATTTGTTACTTTTTTTATTCACATAGCAAAACTTAAAAAATGAATACATAAACATTGCTGCTTACCTCTTTTCTAAACACTTCAAAACTGAAATACCCTCTGTTTTATAAAGAGACTGGGGAGTTAATGTTTATAATATTTTAACCCTGTGTGTTATGCGCTGGCAGATTAAATTTTTAGTTGTAAACTATATGTGAACACTGTCCTAATGAAGGGTTAAAGATCTAGAAGCCTGGCTTCTGCATTGTATTTTAATGAGGGCAAACTCACTCTGTCCCTACTTTGTTTGTAGACAGACTTACTGTAAAATTGTTCAGAGTAGCTTGCAGTCTGGCCAAAGACCTGCTCCAAAGAATCATCTAAAGGGTAAACAATATTAAAAAAAAAAAGTTTTTTTATGTATGTTGTGTAAATGGGAACAGATAACAAAACATATAGTGGGGGTTTTCCCAATTTTAACTGCAAAAGTGGAAATACATTTTAATGATGAATTTCAATAAAAGGGACTGCAAAGCAACGAACAACTGTTGAGACAATGAACAACTTTGTCAGAATTATGTTAGAACCGTGCATCTTACAGACTGCAGTGGTCGGCAGTATATAGCAGAACATAGTGTCAATTATATTACTGGTCAGTGGGAGAAAAAAAGTGTTGCCGTTATTGGAGGGAAAGAATGCCCTTGCATAATTGGAAGGGAATAATATCCTAGTGCTGGTGGTTACTGTGAAGAAAAAATAAGGAAAGTTGTTGCTGTCACTGGGATACATAACATATACTGTAGATCCCTGGTATTGGTGTCAGTGCAAAAAAAAAAAAACAGCATTAAGGGACGAGGGATTTGGTGTCGGTAAGATCTTATACCCTCCATACAGCATTAGTGGCAGCGGGATTTAACATGCCCCTACCCAGCATTTCTTTCAGTGGTATTTACTACACCTCCTAATCAGCATTTGTGCCAGTGGGATTCAATAAGCACTCATCCCCCTTAGCATTGGTGTCAGTGGGATTTAATATACCCCCCCACTCAGCATCGGTGTAAATGGCATTTGATATGCCCCTAACAAGCATTGGTGTGAGTGGGATTTAATATACCTCCCACTCAGCATTAGTGTCAGTGAGATTTAAATGCTGTGCCCCCTACCCAGCATTGGTATCAGTGAGATTTATTATACCCCCTACCCATCATTTGCATCCATGGGATGAGTCCCAGCACCCACAAAAGAGACAAAATCCTGTCCCAGGATCTTTTTAAATTTTTGTCTGGGGTCAATAATTAGAGCATCAGCACACAGCAGAAACTTCTAATGTACAGAAAGATCAATGCTTCTGCAGCTTCTAGAAGGAAAAGAGGCTAAGGGGGACAGGTGAAAACACCAAAGTACAGCAGGGAATTGCATGCTCTACATGAGATACTGTGTGCCAATACACTCACCTTTGATAGTGTGACCCCCACAGGAGCCACTGTCAGTCATCCCACGCAGGGCTTAACAATGGGTGTGTTAGCCTGTGATGTCATAGGATGACAATGGGACTGCAGACACTCCAGGAGTTGACACAGCGTTCTGTTCCCATTAGAGAAAAGTGTGCACAAAAATTGACAACTCTACCACTGGTGTGGTTAGGACAACACAGGAAGCCTGGTATTACAGAGCACACTGGCAGGAACAATAGGCATTTCACCTTTATTATAAGTTACAAACCTTAAATTGTATTTCCACTTTCACAGCCAAATTGGGATAACATCTATTTTATATTTGTTACATGTTCCCATTTACATAGCATAAGCTTAAAAAAAATATTAAAACATTCTTCTTGCAGTTTAAATAGCTTTTACTTGGGTTAGGGTTTTAAGCGTTACATTTTCTTCTTACTTCTATTTCTTAGAAATGTTAGGAGGGGTTGTGATGGGTGGGGGTTCTGAGGTGGCATGTCCATTGTACGTTAAGGTAAGAATTTTTTTTGAAAATCATTTTTCAATATGCTGTGTGAACAGGAACACATAATGAACATATAGAGGGGTTTTCTCAAATGTGACTGCAAAGGTGGAAATACACTTTAAAACAGCTGCAATAAAAATGTTAACTAAAAGCAAGTTATATTTAAAGTTTACATACTGTTTAAGTAACCTGAATACAATATAAACTTTACATCTGCACGAAATGTATAGCTGGAGAATCCTGAGTCTCAATGTCACAAGTAATAAAATAGATATCAGGTTAATAGAGCTACACAATTCAAAGAATTACACTTAGAGAGATACAAATAATAAATGTAAATTCCAAAAATTTGTGGTCTTCTAATAGCTTACAATTAGAAGCCACTATATATAAACCCTTCTCTGCACTCTCTCCAGTTCTACAACATTATTTTATGAACTGGTGCCCAAAACTTAACTGCACAGAGAAGAATTATAAATCATTAATTTATTTTAAAGTTTGATTACAGGTTCTCGTCCCCAGTTGGAAAATCATTGCACTCATAAATAAGAAAGTGCAGTGGCAGGTTTACTATCACCCCACATTTAGCAGAAATGCTACACTGCTAGCCAAGAGAAAGCCAACATTAGTGATTAGATACTGCTGATTTCCAAACCCCCTATACCCACTCAGGTGCCAGCCCTGCAATCCTGTCTGGATGCTAGACCAAAAGTGAGAGATCTACATTATCCTCAGCACTGCTGTTGTTTTCTCACCCCCAGCCCAGTAAGCTTTCTGTGTATCACTTTGAATTCATCTCAGATTTTATACCTTTTATATACTTTAAACTTCTGTGCTTACTTTATTGACTTCATTCTAGAAAAATGTATTTTAGAATTGTGCAGGATATTCACAATCACATCTAGTTTACAATTTGCAGAGGTCCTTGGAGCGGCTCATTCTTTTGCAAGTATGACATTATGATATGTTGGAAAAACGTTTGTCCGCCTATATAGCGTTTATGCTGACGTACTCCAGTATGTTGTTTGCATATATGACTTTCATATATGACTCTAATATGGTTTGCATTTTAATTTACATATTATTATGGATACTGTTAGTATTGTTTACATTCTTTGGACTGTTGAGTTAATGGCACATTTTCTTCCCTGTTTATGTCTGCCATCTCTTTTTCAGGATATTGCTAAACCAGTCCCAGATGCAGATGAATATTCTTCAAGACTTTTTACTTCTGTCTAGTCATTAGTTTTATTATTTAAAATGCATTTTTACAGTTATTATGGCATCCCATCCAGGATTTTAGATGATGTTAAAGAAGAGCTCGGCAAAAAATGTGTTTTCTTAACGCTTGCAGTGGGGCTAATCCCGCACTGTAAGGGTTAACTGCTCGTTTTTGTCTCGGTGCTATGAAATAAAAAATAAAAACTAGTGGACTTTAAAGATACCCATATTAGACATGTCTTCCTAAATATGTCGTTTAAAAAAATACAAACTTTATGTGCATAATTAGACATATTCAAATATAATTTAGATACAACATTGAACGTGACCCCTGATGTTTTTTCTATCACAATATAAAGTAAGATTTGCTTATACGGTCAAAATTATTTCCTTAATAAATTGTTGATTTGAATTTTGTATAACAACAATTTCTGGATGGTCATTGTATGCTTTGCACATTTATAAGGTCTCATGAGCTCCTGATGAGGCGGTTTACCCGTGATCTCCATTGAGCAGAAAAGTTACATTACCACTTGGACAGAAAAGGCAAATTTTTGAAAACTGTGATTTCTGTTAAATACAATTTTATGTATACATTGTGATAGTGGAGTGACATAGATGACAACTAAGGAGACACCCTCATGTTGTTTTAGCATTGAAGTTATTTATGTTATTATTTATTTTAATAATTATTTTAACACATCTAAATTATATTTTAATATGCCTTATTTTGTAAATAAAGTTTCTATTTTTTAAGAAGGCATGTCTAATATGGGTATCTTAAAAGTCTGCTATTTTTTCTGAATTTTTCATGGAATCTGCTGGCATGTGGCGAATTCTACTGGTTGGGCTCATCTAACTCGCAATTTATCTAGGTGCTAAAAAAAGGTTTGACTAATCCAAGCCACTGAACCAGCTCCGTGCTTCTCCGGTCTCTGGAGCCTCTCTCCTCCTATGCTGCATGGGAAGCGTCCTTACATCTTTACACCGTGTATTGAAAGTGATGATATATGGGACCTTAGACCGTTGCAGTGGAAGGGGTGTGAGGCTGGTAGGACCAGTCTAAGAGCAAGTTTAGATGAGTATAACCTTTTTTTTGCAGTATCTAGACAAAAACAAGCAGTAAAACCTTGCTATGTGGGGGTAGCCTCACTGCAAGGGGTAATACACGTTTTGCCTGAAGTTCTTTGAACTTTAGTTTTATTTTCCCTATGCAGACCATAAATACTTATTGTGACTTTTAAACTTATCAGCTTGGGGAAGTTGAGCTAGTATATACTAAATAGCTTTTGGAAGTGAAAGAATACAATGTGTCAGGTGCCGCACTGATAACAAGGATATGCTATTTTTCTCTCTAAATGGAGTTTGGTTGAGTTGCTAAACAGTGTTATATAAATTACTGGTGACAATCACTGCATGTACCAGTTGCTTTAGTGATTAAAAGGTTACCTTCATAACCCGACTGCTCACATGGTATTTTGGGCTCTAGTTCACACCGCAGTGTTCAGTTCCAGAGCATGTAAAAAAACTGCAGCAAGCCCTATTTTACCTTCTCTGGAATGCACTGAAAGCCTATTTTAAACGTAAAAAAAAAAAAAAAATTGTGCACAAACGGCCCTGAACGCGTCAAAAAAATGCGGCAAAACACAATGCACTGCGTGTGCAGAAACTCATGCAGATCTGGTCTGCATTTGGTGTGAACAAGCCCTAAGGGTTAGAACACTGAGGTAAAGTGTATATGAAACTAATATATGTTTTCTTAGTTTTATGTGAAGACTTAAAACCCCTACTGGTTTTTACTGCACGATTTCCCCTCACTTCCTGTCTAGCTAACAATGTCTCACCAGAGAGAAAGTGAGGGGAAATCTCGAACTACAACATAGACAAATAAAAATGTTGTTGTTTTTTTAATTAGAGCAAGGGAAGACTAGAACCCCTGTAAAGGTTGTATTTTTCTTGTCCTTTTTATGAATTAAAGAAGAACTCTGGGCAAAAGGTCTATTGCTCCCACATTGCAAGGGTTAACTGCTCATTTTGGTCCAGGGAGAAAAATAACGTTATACTCCAAGTCATGTCCAATACACTGTGTATAGCGTGTGATGACTCAGGGACCTTAGCCCACTGCAGCGGAGGGGGAAACAAGGCTAGGAGGACCAGTTTAAGAGCAAGTTGGCCCGGAGGATTGGGTAAGTATAATTTTTTTTCTTTCCTCCCTAGACCAAAACAAGCAGTTAACACTTGCAGTGTGGAGGTAGCCCCGCTGCAAGGGTTAAGAATAATTCTGCCTGGAGTTCTTCTTTAAATAAATAATGCTTAGCCATTGCTGAATAAGCAGCAAGCACAGCTTATTGCTATACATTTTCAGTTAGAAGATGATAATGCATAGTGACAGGTGCAGGTTAGGCATGAAGATATTTATATAGAACTCATATCCTCAGAACAGGAATCCTGTTAGTTTTTGGTTCTTTAATAAACACAGGGATTAGAAGCATCTCCCTGATCATAGCATGAGTTGACACACATTCACTGTTCAAATACAGTATTCTCTTAGGATATGAAAGGGATTCTTCCCTGCAGTCAGCCACATCTGGAGCACTTGTGTAACATATACAAACCAAGATAATGTGTGGAACTTAACAATGAGAATAAAAGAAGGTGCATATTGAACAATGGCAGAAGAAAGTTCAGGAGGAAGAGACAAGTAAAGAAAAATGTTTAAGGTGTTAACGGTGAAGTGGAGCAATACTGTGTACAATGCTGCCAATGATTTCACTTGTGGAGGTTGTATCACATGGCAAACACTACCCCAAGTGGAGTAAACATTATTTTCACACAGTCTGTGAGATGCTGAAGACTGCTGACATCTAGGGAAATGAAAAGCGAACCAAAAATTACAAATCAATTAACTACAGGACTGGACTCGTAACATTTCATGTAACTCTTAAGATCGCAGTCATTTGTTTGGTATTATGATTTTCCATTAAGCAGAAATGTATGACTGAGTGTAGAAGGTTCAATAAAAACTCCTGGAATAAGGGACACTGAACTGAAAGTGCCACACTGTGATATTATAGTCCATATACAAGTTTATTGTGGTAAAAAAAAAAAAGAAATCAGTTGGCGTATTGTGCACAAACCCAATGGGGTCTATTCACAAAGCTGCCGAAGGATCTGGCCGTAGCTTCGGCCGATCCTTCGGCTAGCTTCGGCACCAGGACCCCTTCGGTTCAGGAGAACCGAGGGGGTGCTGTACGGCTATTCACAATAGCCCGTACAGCTCCCGATCACGGCCGAGCGGCTCAGTCGAGCGCTGA